TATCAAAATAAATCAATGGTGTAAGTACCACGTAGCATATCCATAATGAACTGTTGATTTATTTGATATATTTAAATGACTAAACGATTTCCAATTCGAATGATTTTTTGTAAGGATAATCTCCAAATGAAGATAAAAGATTGAATGGTTCCGACTATAAAATTTTTACGATGAAGATGCGTTATTTGCTAGTGAGAAATGAGCTCATTTCCCCAAAAGAAGCAATGCATGCAAGCATTATCTGAAAGTATAATGTTAGGGACCAATTTCCAATAATACAAAAAGAAATTAAACTGAATCACATGATTAACCAACCATAATTAGGTATGAAACTCGTTACCTAAGTAAGTCGTATATGAAACCTTCCCCCAAGTCACAAGAACATCACTAAATTATAACGAGATGAGTATGATATTAACATTGAAACATCGTATCATTCTTCAGATCGCAACTTACAACGTGAGATTCTCGAACTGTATCGCCAACAAGGTTTCAAGTTTTTGGACATTAATTTGTTTTCGTATGGTAAAGTTCATGAACTTAATAGCAAAGGACACAAACACTCGATTTAATTACCACGTCGATCATGGCACTGTCCTCTTGTAATCGTAATCATAAAATAAGCATCGTGCTCCAAACTTCAAAGTTCAAATCAATGTTCAATCATGCATGCCTCTGAAAAGTAATGTCTCCTTGGGTTATATTATCTTAGCTACTTAGTTAGGTCAACATAGATAACCGTCGACAACTTATTGTAATAAAATCTTCATGTAATCTTGACATCTTGCCTGCGCTATAGGACAGTCCACATTTGTTTTTGTCTTCTTTATTAAAAAGAGCAAATATTGTATGATCAAATACATTGGATTTGGTTGGTTAGCGTCTTTTTTCTGGACAAAGATTGTATGTCCTTCCACTGCCAGTGCCCTCCCATGCCATTCTGTTTGTTAAGTCACGTCAACATTTTACATTACTATTTATTTTTGTCTTATTATCTATATAAAAAAAATAATATAAAATGTTGACGTGACTTAACCGTGATCACACAAAATAAGAGGGCACGAGAGGGCACCGGAAGTGCAAGGGCAGATAATCCTCGTCCCTTTTTCCTTACTTCTTACTTCTTGTACCTAAAGTTAATTCCTATATTATATAAAATATTAATTTCGTATGATTTATTTATTTGCACCAAATACATTGGATTTGGCAAATAACACTTTATTGCAATGGCTGAAAACAATCAAACAAATGCACTCTAATGCAGATCTCTCCATTCTAACAACTAATAATTTATCATTTGTAAAATAAAAAAAAAACAAAAATAAAAAACAAACAAACAAACCTTGGATTTGAATCTTCTTTCTTTATTTTTATTCATTTAGAATGGTTTACTCTAAACTATGAGAAAAGTAATTCAAACTTGAGTGCTGAAAAGAAAGCACAATATTCTAGCCAACGTCATGTCCAAGTTTGCTGAAATTGCTTTTATATATGTGGATTAATAACTATCTTTTCTTTTCTTTTTTGTCTAAATAACCTTCTTATTACTGGTTACTAAAAAATTCCAGTGAGTCGATAGCATTCACAGCATATTGAGAGAGAAGCAGGATTTATTTGCTAGAGGGCTATAATTTATTAGAAAATTTGACAAGCTATAAAATATCTTGCAACTTGCAAACAATAATCTTGTTATCTTGTTAATTCCGTTTCGCCACATATATATAAATTCAGTTACTTATTTACGATTTTTCTGACATTTCTGGGCAATATTATTCTGTTATATATTTCCTTTTCCATCTCTGCTGTGCCATTTATATTGACTTATTGTTCTCGTACTCGGTTTTTCTCCTCTACAATCTGAACGTACGGCAGGATTTCAGATTTTGTTCATTAATTCTAACTTATCCAGGGACTGCACTTCGGCACATCCCTTGAAAAATAGTAGCAGAGTGTGTGACTAAAATATATGTTTTGCTGTTTTATGCATAACAACTCCCGCCAGACTGTGAAATTAAACTACAGGTTATGATGTGAAACGAATATCCAGTTAAAAATCCAGATTATTAATCTTAAATTTGATCACAAACTTGAAGGAAAATCAAACAAAAATCAGACGGTGCGGTTGTAATTTACTCAAAAATATCAATGGAGGTAGAGAAAGACGCTTGAAAAGTGGCTTTGCATGATTCATTCACACGTATGCATGGGTCAATTTGCATGATAGATTTGTAAAGTAGTGTTGGTGGCTTCTTGGTTGTTTTCCAGATTTAGGACTCGACTAGACGGTCAGTAGATTTTAGTTCTGAAGAAAGAATCCGTGAAGGATAAGGAAAATACAGAAGAGAAAACGACAAACCCTAATTATAAAGCTACGTGTGCAGTTAAAAAATGACGACTGTATGATCTAAAAATGGAGCCAAACTAGTGCGGTACGTACGTGTTCGATCCCTTATTATAAGTTATAACCCTTCACGTTGCTTTCCCCGAGGGATTTGGATCCTCTCCTCAGCAGGGGGCTCGAATATTCCTAACCAAATAACACGAGCAGTTGGATTTTAATCAAACGACTATAATTATTATAATTTTTAGAAAAGTCTCTATTGAATCAAAATCTAACGACTCGTGTTATTGGGTTAGGAGGATTCAGACCCCAACTCAGGAGAGGATCCAAATCCTTCCCCGAGAGCTAAGCTAGCTGGCTAATCTAGCTAACATGTGGCCCAATTCCACAACAATATCTCACTTTCAACTCTCTTTCTCTTGTTTTGTCGAAGAATGCAAATCCACATCGGAAATTTCACATAAATTATTACTATTTATAAAAATAAATGGTACCACTGCTAATAACATTGAGACATTTTATGATAAGATCCAACACTTGCTAAGCTGTGTATGCTGGTGAGTTGGTTCCACTTTCGTTAGCTTGTTTTCATGGCGTTGATACTCTATTCGATCGATATGGTGTTTTCTATGCCTCACACGCTCAAATTTGGTGCGCGGTGCTAGTGTGTTGGTGGCTTTTTGGCTTTTTTTTTTTTTTTTTGAGGTTTTGTGGTAGCCGTATTGGGGTTTACTTAATTGTGCAAATTCACTTCATATCAATTTTTTGGTCACTAAAATTATAAACCCAATTGGTACTGGCTGTATTTATTTATGATGTTGAATGAAATACCACTCTTATCGCTTATAAAAAAAAATACCAATGGAGTATTGTTGACTACATGAATAGATTTTCTTCAGGTCTATTTTCACGGTATACAAGTTGATGTTCGTTGTAATGAATCAGAAGATAAGACAGGAATACATACTATACGTTCATCACACCAACTGAATCATGCATGTTATCGGAGTTCGTGCATGACTCCTTCATGTCTTAACCACAATTATACATATCCATCTTTTCAAGGATGTGGTCAATTGCGCAAATAATTAAAGTTTTTTTATTAATCCACTACACTTGTATTTGAATTCTCCCACCTTCTTAGTAAAATTTAATTAGAAGGGTAATGTTAGGTAAATTAAAATTTTAAAATAAATTTGTTAATTAAATGATGTTGTCATCAATGGGAAATAACACTTAAATAATAATTCAATAATCGATAATCATAGCATTTAGTTTACAAAATTTAGTTTCCTTAATATTACCCAATTTAAATTAGAATTATAGCTTGTACATATACAACTTTTACGTCAAATCTATACATACACACACACACATATACACCTTCTATTTATGTATTATGTATAAACCATTTCTTTATATACATGTACAGCGGATATGCATGCTACGTGCATGCATCCTTATGATTGCAATTTTCAATTTAATCACGAAACTGCACATGCATGCAACTTTGAGAGACGGGTGTGTTCGCAGCTTTTGCAGAATTGGTTGGCAACAAAATTAATGAAATATAATAAATGGGATTGAGTTGTTGGTGTGCTTTCTCATCAGATGGTCCTACTCTCCTCTCCCTCTCCCTCTCCCTCATCAGCTCCCTCTGTTCTATGATCGATCGTAATGTAACAACCTGATGAGCCATGCTCATCAACATTACGAACATTTCATCATCCACGTTATAAATAAGAAAAATAGAAAGATAAAGAATCATTTTCTCATCATCCATGTGCTCTCCAAGCGTCTATAACCAATTTGTCAAACCGATAACATTGAATGAGATTTCTGCATTTGAGACATCCCAAGCACAATAATTGGGTCAAACTTTCTCATTAATTTTATTAAGTTCGTTCACAACATGAAAATGTATATTGGTCATGGAGTCAAACACTCGACAGCCATAACATGTTTTATTTCTCCATTTGTCGGTCTGATAATTATCAAATTTTTCCAAATTAAAATTTACCCATTTCCATGCATATTACCAAAAGTTCAATCCCATTTTTAGTATCCTAGCTAAATGCTCATGGAATAGATGAAAAAAATTTGACTCCTTAATTTGATATGGGCTTGCTTGGAAATGTCCTTTTAAAATGTACTTGTGTTCTACGTCGAAGTTTTTAATAAAAATACAGTGAGTGTTGAAAAGCACTCAAAAGTACTTTTCACTTTCAACAGCCATGCATATATATGGAATATAAGTAAAATATACTTTAATGGTAGTTAATTTCCACATGCATTTTCGTTTGGACATGGACTGAAAGATGGTTAGAAATTTGGGAAATCGAACTACTAGTTACTTATCTTAACTTTGTAGATTTTTCAAAGTACACTGTTTATGATAATCACTTTAGCCGTATTAGTCCTTCGTCTGTACCTCACCAGCACAACAGAAATGTGAATGGCTCCAAACCACGTGGTTTGGAGAAAAGTGTGCTTTGGTTGCACAGGAACATGCATAAAACCGCTCGCACTTGTCGGTTCAAGGTCCCCACACATCAAAATTTAGTGTCATTTAGTTGGTGTGACGTTGCCCTTTGCAAAAAAAAAAAAAAAACCCTCTCTCCCTCCAACTCCAAGCATCTATTTATCCCCCACCTCACCCCCTCAACTTCTCCTCACAACTCACAAACACAAAGCCTCTTTTGCTCTCTATTTATCTCACTACCAAAAGTTGTGTTTCTGCTTCAAAAACAAGTACAAAGCTTGTTGTGCAAGAAAAAACATGGCAATTCTTGGTTTTCTCTTGGTGGTTCTTCTTTCTTTGAGCTCTTTTGCTTGTGGGTATGGAGGAGGTGACGGTGGTTGGGTTGATGCACATGCCACTTTCTATGGCGGAGGTGATGCGACCGGTACAATGGGTAAGTAAACACATATAAATTATCTCTAAAGGAAGTTAAAAACATACATGCATTGTTAATGTGAAAAATGAATCTATAACATGTCAATACATTTTGTTAGCGCATATATATTCAACAGTCCGTTTATTAATACCCGCCACGTCTTAATTTTTTTTTAATGTATCTATAAATTGCAGGTGGGGCTTGTGGCTATGGAAATCTGTATAGCCAAGGCTATGGAACTAACACTGCAGCTCTGAGCACAGCACTGTTCAACAATGGGTTGAGCTGTGGGGCTTGTTTTGAGATTAGGTGTGTGAGTGACCCCAAATGGTGTCTTCCGGGCTCTATTATGGTCACCGCCACCAATTTCTGCCCGCCAAACGATGCCCTTCCCAACAATGCCGGAGGCTGGTGCAACCCGCCGCAGCACCACTTTGATCTCGCCCAGCCCGTCTTCCAACAGATTGCTCAGTACCGAGCTGGAATCGTGCCTGTGTCTTACAGAAGGTATGCAAATTCAGGCTTGGCCTGCTTTATGTTTCTTGAGAAACTCCACTCTCGCAGGGGCTGTTTGCCAACTTAGTAAAAATGAATTTACAAGGGAAAATTGCACATATACCCCTTAAATTCTTAGGGGTGTGCACAGACACCTCACAACAATTTTCAAGGGCATTTTTAGCCATTTCATAATTTATAAACGATGTTTGTGTAAGAATCGCGTTTACTGAAGATGTTTGTGTAAGAATCGCGTTTACTGAAGCTCGTGAGCACAACAGAAGCCATGTAAAGTAAGGCAATTCTGTTGCGCTGACAGCTTTCATAAAACACAATTCTTCACCCAAGTTGTCGAATGGTCATGATTGTTTAATCTTTGTTAGCATCTCACGCCCTTAATAGTTTAGGGAGTTTTACTGTGTTAGTGAAAATTTTCCAATTGATATTATTATGTATAAGATTCGGCGCATTTATAATTGTTGAAACATGTGTCCACAAGAAGCCTGCTCTAAAATCGGTTACCTTATATCATCAGCTGTAGCCTTTCTGTTTTGCCGACCAAAGCACTTCCAAGAACCAACCAATTTACCTAACGTCATCTTTTCCAGTTTCTGATATTTCCAAAAGTACCCCTCAACTTTTATCTGACCGTCCTATATACACATGATTGTAACAATTTGTTCATATTATCATCTATTAATTAAGTTGTCAACTTATATTATAAACGTATTAGTTAAACGTATGTGATAATGTGACTGTCACACTCAAAAACTTTATCGACGACGAAGACTCATGATTTGTTGTTTATGAATTTTTGCAGGGTGCCTTGCTTAAAGAAGGGAGGCATTAGATTCACAATCAACGGTCATTCATACTTCAATTTAGTGCTGATCACAAACGTTGGAGGTGCTGGTGACGTTCATGCAGTTTCCATCAAAGGGTCAAGAACTGGCTGGCAACCCATGTCAAGGAACTGGGGCCAAAACTGGCAGAGCAACTCTTTCCTCAACGGCCAGAGCCTCTCCTTCAAGGTCACAGCCAGCGACGGCCGCACGATTGTCTCCAACAACGTTGTTCCTGCCGGCTGGTCCTTTGGCCAAACATTCAGCGGCCAACAATTCTAAACAGCAAACATTAAATTAAACAAATTATAGTTACATGTTTGTTTAGGGTGTAGCTACAGTTATTGAAACCTAGTACTGTTGAGAGTCAAAAAATGAGAAGGGCTTATATTAAGGGGGCTCTTTATCATTTGGAATTAAATTATGAGGTCATTGTGCGTCTTTACTCTGCTCTCTTTTGGAAAAAGGCAGACAAAGATTTCGGCAGCGGTGGGTGTAAAACCACCCGCCGGGTTTTGTTAGGTTACTTAGTTGTCCGTCTGGTTTGGTTTGGTTTGATTCAATTACGTTGTAATGCGTTTTATTTTGTAAGGTTTTGGAGAATAAAGTCTCTCTCTTCATGAGGATGAAACTAGTTACTTGAAGTTTGAATTCATTCTATCTATGAGCGTAAAGGTTTTGATCACCATTCCTGCTTGATCTCAAGGTGAAATTCCCGCGTACACTTTCTTAATAGAACGATGTTCTAAACTATTTTAATCAACTGGAAATATGATCTTTCGCCGTGTAATGAAACCATGCCGTGATTGCTCATCTTGGGCCAAAAATCTGTAACCCTCTCTTCGTTATCCATCAGACTTCGGCCACAGCCCGAGTTCTGCCTAAACGTGGACTTTGAAGTGCGCTACTATCTCTTTTAATTGTAGACAACTATTTTTTTTTTTTTTTTTTTTTTGATCAAGTGGGATCCAAAAGGATCACCAATAAATTTTATTAAACACACAACACAAATTTACAAACTATTGGCCCACAGACAAAATACACAAACCAAAAAGGATCAGAGCGGGAAAATAGAAAAACAAAAAACCCAACCAAAAACAGAAGAAACAAACAAAAAGTCGAGAAGTCCGTTGCTACCGCCTCCGCCAGGACAGTGGATCTCAACTTGCAGAAATCCATGCCACCGCCAAACATCGCCTCTCCGATCGTATCATCCAACACCGATTTGCTCCCCGAGCACAACCATAAAGTGAGGATAACCAAAAACTGAAGGAAATCAGTTGGTTATCAATAAAAGGAAGCCCATGAAACACCATGAGCAACACTGCTAGATCTGGCAGACAACAAGGAGAAGGTGGTGATGTTGGGAACACCTGAGTCGGTTGAAACATCGAAACTCGTAGCACCAACTCGAATGCAAATGTGGTTGAAGATCGAAACGCAAATGAAGGAGGAAGAGGGATGACATCAAGGGAAAAAGAAGAGGGGAAATCAAGATGATGAGGAGGGGAAAAAGCAGCAGAGAAGGGAAAAGGAGGAGAAAACAAAAGAAACGGAAAAGTGGCAACCGACTCCAGCCAAAGCTAGAGTCGATGCCTAAGATGGTGGTCAAGATTGAAACCCTCACCAAAAATGAAGGAAGAACTCTCACAGAAGGAGAGAAAATAAGATAGGGATACTATCTCTAGGTCTTTGTCTCCCCAATTGTAGACAACTTTTCCCTCTGTATATGGTAGCGATGCTGCATCACCCACGATATGATCTGTCGAGGAGTTGGAGAATCCATGAAGCATGGATCATTGGGAATGTGTCAAGGAGTTTAAGGAGAAGGGTCATGCAGATGCAGTGCCACATATTGTGTGTTTCGAAATTGATCACATATATACCAAGTATGAGCCCGAAGCCGACTCAGAGGCAAAGGCGGAGAAGGCATGCAACTTGTATACTTCACTTGGCTCTTTAATGTGAACTTGATCAGTACTATTTTCTCATTCCTCAAAGCTACTTAATTACAGCAGTAAGTTTGCTTTTGCAGCAAGAAAAACGCAAACAAGCATAGCGAATCACATAGATATAAGCCCCTATACGCCAGTGCGCAAATAGATAAGGTGAGCGAAAGCATGTTAGTCTTGTTCTTTCTACCATACTGACTAACTTCATGTCACTAAAGCCACACAACACACATTGTTTATTGTTGGATTGAAAAATCAGATGACAATGACAAACAACTCAAAATGATCATTAATTTGCCAATGCAACTAGTATACGTACTAAACACGGAATTTGATGAATATCTCCGATAAGTCATGACACATGAGGCAACAAGGTGCTACTGCAAGAGCCTAACTGCTCACTCCCTCGCCACTTGAGCTAATCCTAAGGTTTAAGATAGTCGAATATTGAACGATATGCCGTCATGTCACTTTTTCAACTTTTTACTGTTTCATCAAAATGTACCATAACTTTTGTCAAATGGAAATGGTTTACATTTTTGTCTGTCTCATGGTTAAGCGTTGTGGAAGAAGTTCTCCTCTCCAAAAGCAAGAGGATGAATAGTTACCTGACCTTTCATCATTCTTATCTGTTGTCACATTTTGACTCAACGTCACGTAGAGTTAAAATCAAGCCATTGTCCATGACTTTTGAGCTTTGGTTATAATTTGATATTATAATGAAAAAGAAAATATGCACAAATATAATCGATTGCATAAAGACGTATGTGAGATATAAACCAAATGTGTGAATAACCATCCTCTTTTTTTATTTTCAACCCTAAGAGCAACTCTACCGTTGCTAAGGCCCCCCACGGCTATTCACTATTTAATCCACCTAGTGAACAGTAATTGCCCTTAATAAACAGTAACTGCTTTTTTTACATCTCCACCCTACATTGAATAGCCATGGCAATAGGTAATAAAATAATAGTAATTTTTTTATTTATAAAATAATACAAAATAATTATTTTAAGAAAAGTACAAATTAAAGATGCAAATTCCATTGCAAAGTTAATGCAGCTTCTACATTTTAACTAGTCAAATTTTGACTAAAGTTTTTATCTTTAAAACAGTTTGCTCTAGCAATTAACTAATCAAATCAAAACTCGCTCAAACCCCTGAAGCAAATTTCAACGGCGTCGAGAATATCTTTGAAGAGCAAGGGCAAGACTCTGGCAAAGCCCTCCAAGGGCTCGGAGGAGCGCTCGGTGGCTCAATCCTTCAAGGAGTGGAGCACGTGGGCCCTGAAGAAGGCCAAGGTCGTCACCCACTACGGCTTCATTCCCCTGGTCATCATCATCGACATGAACTCGGAACCCAAGCTGCAACTTTCCCAACTTCTCAGCCCCGTCTGATTCGATCCGGTTCTGATCATCCAATTTCCATGATGGGTTTTTGGTATTGTCTCTAATGGGTTTTGTTCTATAAAATTTGGGGTTCTGCTTCGTCGCTGCACCCATCCACCGTGAGACAACGATGTCGTTCAAGAACCATGAAGGTTGAGAGAGAGAAAGGGAAGTTCGGCCCGTCCACCACGTGGCTGACGTCGCCTAGACGTCAGCCTTGCATCACATGCCCTTCAGGCTCTCAGGCTGGCAACTCCTGTCGGGCCTCTCCCTCTGGCTCGCTCGGACTCCATTGCCAGTACACGCTGAACCAAGTTGCTCGGGCTTTCTGGCCCTGTTTGAGAGCCAGTCCACCAAGGCTATTGCCCACGGTGGAACTGCTCTAAAAAGTTGAGAGGGCGTACGTGCCCCTGCCCGAAATCAGATTAGCCACCAGGTAAGATGTAGTTTGAGCCAGCTATTTGTCATGCAACTATAGGCTCCCTTAGATTCCACGTGGAAGGAGACCCTAATCATCATATCCATATCCTGTTAAAAAAATCTTCATGCGTGGCCACAAAGTGGACCCCACATTCTCATTTCAGCCAACAGCATCACAGGTAGAGATTTGTGGATACAACCCTAAAGATAAAAAGATAAGGTCCAAGACTTCCCATTGGCTCATCTCAAACCATAAGCAAATCTCCATCGTTGGATCACAAAAATCTTGCAAACCAACGGTCAAATTCCATCAAAGAACAACCTCCACAAGACCCGCATTGACAAGTTGGCATCAAATATACAAAGCCATGGACTCACATTACACAATTTACGTTTTCATTTAGCTCCATACCTTATATTCCTCTACACCACTAACCCCCCATCCCTACCTGAAAATCCGACCATAATTCAGGTGGGAAAACAATGGCTACGGTCACAACTCAAGCCTCGGCGGCCGTTTTCCGGCCGTGTGTCAACTCGAAATCAAGGTTCCTTTCAGGGTCTTCGAGTAAATTAAATAGGGAAGTGGCTTTTAGGCCTATGGCTTCTCCTTCTGCTTCTTCGTTTAAAGTTGAGGCCAAGAAGGGTGAGTGGTTACCCGGCTTGGCTTCACCAGACTACCTCACCGGAAGGTATGTTTAAAATTTCTCGAATTACAATTTGAATGTTTTTTTTTTTTTTTTTAAGAAAAAGAGTGCACAATGACTTTTTTCTGAATGACCAATAAAAATGCTTATAAATATTTCGATTGAGGAAAAAGCATTGATTGACTAAGATATGTTTTTGTGGGCAGTCTTCCCGGTGACAATGGATTTGATCCTCTGGCACTTGCTGAGGACCCAGAGAACTTGAGGTGGTTTGTCCAAGCTGAGCTTGTCAATAGCAGATGGGCAATGTTGGGTGTTGCTGGGATGCTATTGCCTGAAGTGTTCACCAACTTGGGGATCCTTAACGTCCCCAAATGGTATGATGCCGGAAAGGGCGAGTACTTCGCCTCTTCGTCCACCCTCTTTGTGATCGAGTTCATCCTGTTCCACTACGTCGAGATCAGACGGTGGCAAGACATCAAGAACCCAGGAAGTGTGAACCAAGACCCCATCTTCAAGCAATACAGCTTGCCCCCAGGTGATGTGGGTTACCCAGGCGGCATCTTCAACCCCCTCAACTTCGCACCGACTCTCGAGGCCAAGGAGAAGGAACTTGCCAATGGTAAGCGTTTGATCTCGTGTCCAACATTGCTCCGACCAACTAACCTAACTCACGTCTGCTTTTAAGTTTGAAATGAGGTGTAATACGTTGTTTTGAAATGTGTTATGTAGGGAGACTGGCAATGTTGGCATTCCTAGGGTTTGTGGTTCAACACAATGTGACCGGAAAAGGACCGTTTGACAACCTGTTGCAGCACCTCTCAGACCCATGGCATAACACCATTATCCAAACCCTAAGAGGCTTCTAGATCCATTGCAACGCAAGAAAAGTGGAAGAAGAAAATATGGAAATTCTGTTCTTATTTATTTTGTAACAATGAATTAATGTTCTTTGAGTGAGTGTGAAATGGTGAGCATCAATGTAGACAAAATGTTTTACCGGTGTACAGGAACCATGGTGGCAATTAGTATTATCATTCTCATTACATCTACTAATATAATATTGATCATTGAGCGTATGGGCATCGTCAAGTTGGCTAGTGCAGAGTTCGCCATCTACACCCAAACTCGAATTCCCCTCTCCGTAAATTAGACTAGGTTAGAAATCGCTCAGTTACAAAAAAGCTGTGGGCGAAGATAATATAAATCACAAAGTAGTTCGAGAAATCCATCATGTTTGCTTTCATTTTCTATGAGTAATAGTTTACAAAAGTGGTGGATGCTCTGAATTAAGGAACCCAACGATGTTAGTATACAGATGAATTATAATTCTATATGTCTTGTACAATATATATACAGATTTAGTCTAATCCCCCAAGTAGCCTGTTAGCATCAATACATATCTTGGATTACTCTTAAGATTTCCAACTCATATCATTTGCTCGGTATGTGCCTCCCGTAAATCCTTCCAATATTTTGTCAGCTACAATCTCACGTTTGGTTGCTACAAGAGACGAAAACAAACATAGAGCCGCAAGTCACCAATGGAACGATAAAATACATAGACCAATAGTTTGTCCATTATTTCATAAGCTTGCCGAAACAGATTGAAAAATATCGATGGAAGGACTCACCGGTTGGTAGGTATTCTCCTTGTACACAGCAATGCCGCTAGGCCCAGATGAAGAAAGCCAAGCATGATGATCAGTTTCATACAAAGATCTTGGCAGTTCAAAGTTGCTACTCAGTTGATAGTCCACCGGATTTGTTGGTACGTTCTTTTCCATTTCATGGTTCAATTTCTGATCGTCTGGCACGTAAGAACTACAATATGATGGATAAGCGTAATGCTTACCAGGTTCCGTACTTAAACAAGCATTAATGTCAAACTCATTTAAGCCACCGCCTCCTTCCATATTAGAAATTTGTCCCATAGTATCTAGTCGTACTGGATCACCGGCCTCAGATTGTTTGCTGTTGCTAGGGCTAGTGCTCGTCCCAGTGCCAAAGTAACTAGTATAATGTGGAACAGTGGCATTTGTAGAGCACTCCACACCTCTAGGGAGAGAGACAGAGAGCATCATAGCATCGGTAATTTATCAGAAAGAAAGTTCTCAGGCATTAGGCTCTGTACTGGTGGATGCATAACAGCAATAGACTAACCTATGTGGAAGATAGTTCGGCTCATTCGGGAATATCATATGTTGATTGTCGCTATTGAAAAGCCAAGTTATAGGTTGAGCTTCTTGCATACCACCACCAACTAATAAAGACGAAAGCATTCCATTTTGAAACTTTGATACACAAAAATCAAGCTTCAAATTAGATTACATGAGAGAGAGAGAGAGAGAGAGAGAGAGAGCATTGTTCATCAGCTAAAGTATTTATTACCTGGTTTGTGCAATCTAGTGATGTTAGTTGATGTTTTCCCAAATTTTCCTAACAATTTTAGTTATCCAATAGGTTAGTATCAATTCAATAGCCAGCCACACATAAAGCAGGTAGAACAAGTAGCAACTCAGGCGGATCAGGTAAGTCATGGCTACTTCAACTCACCATGACACCAAAACCAACCAAAGCCATTTATCGATGATATATCACTGTTCATACTTCATCTTTTCTTTTCAGTTGTTTGGTAAACAAAACCGTAAACCCTCGTTGTTTTTCTTTCACATCACAAGCCTTAGAATTTATTATGCAATACTGTAACATGAAATACAAAATTATACCTTGCGTAGACAGGTTCGGTTGATTGATTCCTTAAGCATGTCTTCCATCTGCCTAAGCTGTTCAAGATTGTCAACCTTATCTGGGTCGCTCCAAAAGCTGAAAAAGTGGCAAGGATTAAAATTATCACATGGATTCTTTATATGCATATACCTTACTGATCAATGCATAGTTTAATATGCAATGGATCGCGATCATTTGTAGATTCAATGAAACATTGAATACGAAAAACAGGTCAAAATATATGTAATATAATCAGGAACACACAAGACAATTCAAACAGAAAGAGTTTTTATACAATTTCTTAGGGCCTGTACGAAAGTTATCGTTCTGGTATATAGAAACTGAAGCACAAACATTTTCGAAACATACAACACAACCCAAATTGACCATCAAGACCAAAAAGACAAGGCAATACTTTAACAACTAAAAGCTCCAAAGGTGCACCTCAGTCTCTTATGGAGTTCTGTAAGTTGGGTTTGCAATACCGCTACTTGATGAGTCAGATCCTGCCAATAGCAATTTATCACAAGACATTAGTTGTCGTAGTTAAATTAGAAAAGCATTTATAATTCTATTGGTGGTAAAGAATATATACCTCAACTGTCTGAGAGCTGCAAGAAACAGAAGAGAAAAAGAACGTTAAGTAAAGGGCCGCATCAGATATTCCCATAGATTTCACTCAAAGGAAATGACAAATGTGATAAAAACAATCACATACCTTGAACTCATGAAATCTTGTACGTTAACGTCATGATCCAACTTCTTAAAAGTTTTTTTCAGCACCTATATCCACAAAAAGAACACCAAAACACAAGTATAGAATGAATTAAGTGGCATAAGCTAGTTTTCATTTAATACAACAAAAGCAAGAGAAACAAATGTTCCCGTTTGAAATGCTATTTGCGAAAGTCTTACTTCCAGGCTCTCCAATTTCCTGTTAAAGACAAAATGGACAAGTAGTTAGCTGTAATGCCATCGAAACTCAATCGAGCTAGAAAATGAGAAAATCCGAATCTCGTTGCAAGTATTCTAGTACCTCTTTGCCCTCTCCTGCGGAGTTAACCGCGCAAACTTTGAAACAATCTCTTCAAAATTACTGAGAATGTCATGAAAGCAAAGAAGCTATATTAACATATGATATAGAAAGTTCATTCACTCCCTATTTTAGTCTCATTCTAGTCTTCTTATGCTAGTTTGTCTGCAAAATTGTGATCAAAGAACGAATGTAAACTTTCCGCTTGCAATACCTGCGGTCCCCTTGGAATATCGTAGGCCTTCCAGTGGGGGAAAACATGAGAAGGACAATATCTACATCACATAAGATTGATAACTCCTTAGCTTTCTTCAAGATTCCATTTCTCCGTTTTGAAAACGTAACCTGCCGGTTACCACTGCTCTCTAATTTCTTTATCTTTAACTTAACCCTTCCCATCCTGCAATCCAACAAGCAAACCCCTCAAAAGTCTTACGAAATGCCAACTGCGAAAATTTCTCGACACTCTTGTTTATTGTTGAAATGTGCATCGACTCACTTTAGTTACACAACAACAATGCACTTCTCCAAATGCAGCTTTCATCCCAGGCACCAGAACTTGATAACCATTTATTCAAAAAGAACAATTCCACCCCAAATCTGATCAAATTAATTGTTTTTGCGCCTGCTTATCATATCAGCAGACAATCTCGTCAAATGAGAATGAAACCTTAAAATCCCAGAAAGAAAATGACCACCTAATGACAAATACAAACAAATTTCTGCAATCACAGACGTTGATAATTCACGAAATCATCAACAAAAAATTGATATAATCCACAAAAAGTGTAGACTTAAATGAGAAATATCGTCAATCAATGGGAAAAGGTAACATTTTTATGAATATGGTAAAAGGGCAATTCAAAAAAAAAAAATACAGGGGAAGCCAGACAAAGCAATAGCAGAGTAACATGGAGGGAAAGCAAGAAATGGGGTATTAAGATTGAAAGCTTACGAATTTGCACACGACGGGTCAAGCTGTGATTTCGGTCGTTAGAATGCGCAGAGCCACCACCAGAAATTTACTGCGGCAGAGAGAGAAACAGAGTGTGGGGAGAGAGAGAGAGAGAGAGAGAGAGGTGCAATGAACGGTGCGCTTTGTGAGTTTGCAGTGGCACCGAGGACGAAGAGGGAAAAAGAACAAAAATCTTGGGTTGGGAAGGTGAAGAGCTTCTCCACCAAGAAAGCCTACATGGCTGTCTTTGCGGTTGACATGGTAGGCGGGCCGAGTCGAGAAATTTGCATGCACCTTTGTTCCAAGCCAATGACGTACTGCTACGCATTTTATATTGAAATATGTGGTTGTGTTGAGATACCATGCGGCAAAATGTGATTAGTTTGTAATAACGGCATTGAGAAATGTTAAAGAGACTCTTTAAAAATGAGACTCTCTATAAATTTCTTGTCACCTCATATTTTTTGCATGATGTTTTATAATGTTAGAACGAGAATTAACGTTAAAGTATGAGGTGACAGAAAATCTATAAAAAGTTGTATTTAAAAGGATCTTATTAGCATTTCTCAGCGAAAATACCATTTCAAGCGTATGAAAATCCTTCTCCAATGGTCGTGCATTTAATAACCTGCATTGCAAATTTCCAAAAAACTGGACTGACGTATATTTTTGTCCAAAAAGGTATTTAACATGGGGTGTGATATCCACATACCCCTTTTACTTCTCCCACATTTTTTTGATTTTCGGCCATCGGATCGGATGAATTGAAGAAGATCAAATGACAGAAATTAACGAGAGTGTGTGAAAAGTAAAAAGGGATGTGTGGATAACACACCTTTAACATTTGTTTGATCAGTGTTTTAAAAAATGAGCCTTAAGGCATGTGTAGGCAGCCTTCAAGGTGGGACGGTGAGAAAAACACTTCTAACTAGAGAAAGTAAGCTTCGCTTAGGCGTGGTCGAGGTGCGTTTAGGCACTTGAGGCGTTAGATGGGTTTTTTTTAACGATTAGAGTTTCTCACTTACAATGAATAAATTGTTGATTTAATTGTTGATTATTCTTCTATAATGTTTGATTTTAACTCTATTGTTGATTGAAAAATGCTATTCACACACTTATTTTTACCTCTCACACCCTTGTTAATTTTTTGTCATTGATCTTCTTCATTACATTCAATCTGACGACTGAAAATTTGAGAGAGGTGTGTGAGAAGTAAAAATAAGTGTATGAATTATAGTATTTGTATATAATCATATGTAATATATATTAATAATTTTAGGTCCCGTGAGGCAAACCTCAAATTCGTCTTCGCCTTTTAAAACATTAGTTTTGATTGAAAAAAATTGGTTACATTTATTAAAAAATTGAAGGGTGGTACTATGTGAATAGCACCCTCACTGAATACTCAATTTCACACTTTCCTTACAATGACAATGGTTGAGAGAGATTTCTTTCAGCCTGAGAGTCAAAAGCTGCTGCTTCCTCTAATTCCTGCCTTGTCAACAGCCTAGTTGAGGGTACAAACTTTGTACTCGAGGTAGCTTCAATGGCGTCCGACCGTTCCGATCTCACGGAGAATTGGGATAAGAGTGCCTCGACTGTTTTCTCAAGAAAAACTGATCTTGGGATGTAGTCTTTCATGCAGCATATGAATTCTAAATGATCTCTTGTCTGCAAAGGAAATAGATAGCATATCGGCACATTTAAGGTGTGGAATTCACAGGCTTTTCTTTGGCTACGTGGGAAATACAGGTTGAACCATAAAATTTAAAGGAACCACAGAAAAATAGATGTGACAACTTAATAACATACCAATCGATATTCAGGAACCCGTTTTGGATGCTTCAGGTATGCCATGTTCCTAACATCATAGTCCCATAGAAAGGAAGTGTGGTGGATCCACCGGTTTTTACTAATAGATTGAGCGTTCCCACCAAACTTGCGGTTTCCAAATACATAATCTACAACCGGATGGGACCAAATATGTTGTTAGGGAAAAGTCGAAACACAAAACTAACATTTGATACCACACAAAAAGATCAAATAAAGAACCTCAAATCACATCCAGAAATTTCAAATAAAAAAAGCAGGAAACAATAGGATTAACAGAAGAGGTAAGAAAAGGATACTAATCAGTCTAATAAACATTACAAACACATAATCTTATAAGCATAAAGCACCCTAGTAAACAGTAGCGTTAGAAAGGTTCGTTAAGTTACCATTTTCACGAAGTTGAAAATCAGCAAGTCCTTCAAACACTTTGCTGTAAACTAGGCTACTCCAGGACATTATAGGTCGAGGATATGGTTGCAAGCCAGGAACGGCATCCTTGTTGCATATGAAAGTGACAAACAGCGTATTTTGATCAACAGTAACAGTGCCACCTCCAGTAAACCTTCTAATGACAGGAATCTGGTCTCGTAACACCAAATCAATTTCAAGAAGCTCTGCAGGTTTTCTATGCAGAACATACACGGATCCTTTACAATCTCCAATACAAAAAACATACATAAATAAATAATAAAATCACAAACCTAAGAGAATGAACAGAGCCAGAATCATGTAATTCGGAAAATAAGTCTGCGATTGACCAAGCAATGACACTTTTACATTGGACGGTCCACAACAATATCATCCTACTTGATCGGTGATAGTGTTCTAATACAGAGAACATACCAACTTAATCAATAGTGACAATGAGTAAGAAGCTCATCTTACCCCGAAACACCCATGACAATAGTGGGATCATTAGTTCCATCATTTACAATGCACCAATTATGGGACGAGGTCCGCAGAAGTTGCTCCTCTAAATGAAGCTGTTGGAGAATGGGAATTCCTTTTAATTTGATAAGGTTCATGAGTGGAAGCCCAATGCTTCTTGCTTGAGGAGTAGTCATTGAAACCATCCTATCCATCAAATACACCCAAAGAAAAGAACAAATCATCACAGAGAAATTGAATCTATACATTTTCCAACTGATTAAATTAAAAAATTCATCAAAAAGCTTCCATCTAGGAATTCTGATGCAAATTGGGTAACAGCATGCAACTGGGTTTTCCTTATTTCTCCTCTGACCAAAATATAAATATATACACACACACATATATATATATGAGTATATACACACATTTGCAGTATATTTCCAAAATAATTATCATAGAAACGAAAATCAAAATATGAACTTGTGTTTTCTTCTTTAGCCACACAATCTGACAATCAAAAGCAGATCAGAACACAATCGGACTACGGAAAATAGGCGGATCAAAATTCAATTGGGAAGGAAAAACTAACATACAATTAATAATATGGAAATCAAGGGTCAAAGATCTTATCTTTACCGGGACGAAAACAGGGGAACGAGGCCAGGGAGCTGCCTCCGGTGGCCGGGAGAGAGAGAGAGAGAGTTGTTGACTTCTTGTATCTTCTTCTATTGCTGCTTCTGAAAGTCGCAGAGAGGGGTTAATCGCGGGAACGAAGAAACCTGGGCCAAAGAACTTCAGCCCAATTCTCAAGCTTTTTCCACTCAGCAACAAAGTGGATAGTGTTCCATTTGCTTGTTGGTCTGACTGAGGATGGTGGCTCATTATACTGTGGTTCGATAGGTGTCCGTGTGGACTCTTTTTCACTTTGTTGTACTTGTACATTATGCTCGAATACAATTTGAAGTTCTAAAAAATATTAGGCATTAGTCAGACAGCGGGTTGGAGTCAAGCGTTTAGGAGGAGCTTAGGCAAGGGTCTAAGCAGAGTAGGTGGATTTAATTTAATTTATTATATAACATATAAATATGTGTCTACTTACTTTCTAAAATAAACTATACTTGTATTGAGAATTTAAAAAAAGTTAAAGTTTAAGCAATCAAGGCTCTGACATCATCAGAGACTAATGTAGCAAAAATAAGAAAATCTCAAAACCAAATTAAAAATTTCAATAATTCATAATATAAAATTGACATCATCTTTCATCACAGATTAATCAAGATTCAATGAATCAACATATGTAAATGGGATCGTGCATCTAGAATTCAATGTCATTTAATTGCAGTATGAAAAAAAAGAGATTAAAAGCTAAAAAGAACAAAATAATGAGCCTTGACGATGGCTTGTGAGAGTTTAGTCGACGGCAGTTGCAAGAGACAACGCAAGTAAAGTTAGAATCGACGTGAGCGATTGCGAGAGAAAGTGTGTGAGAGAGAGAGAGAGAGCGCCTATGTGCGAAGAGACAGGGAGAATAGAAACACGAAACGGCAATCGAAATAATGTGGGGTTTTTTGGGTAGGTTATCCAGAAAATCCTTTAACTTAATTTTAAAAATAAAATAAAATAGTGGAACCCTAACCCCTAAACCACCTATCCATTGCCTAGTTCGCCTAAGCGACCGTCTATCGCCTACTCGATTTTCCTTTACGTTTTGGCCTAAATAGCATTGATCATTCACCATCCACCACCTAGGCAGCCGCCTAAGGGCTGGTTTGGTATTGCTGTGCTTTGAAAAAAAACTGTTGTGAGAATAAGCGGCTGTGCTGTGAGAATAAGCGGCTGTGAAATAAATCAGCAGAGCGTTTGGTAAACTTTTTTGTAAAAATGCTTTTGGAAAAAAAAAGCAGTTTGATAGTGGGTCTTTTCATTAAAGGAGCATTGTAGCTCCGTGTGCTTTGAAAAAAAGCCAGTTTTCCAAAGCTACAAATAGCAGCTTCAGCTTTTTCCTTTGATTTCAGCTTATTCTCACAGCAGCTTCCAAAATAAGCCATTTTTTTTCAGTTTACCAAACACCTAAAACCCTCACAGCTTTTTTTCACATGTGCTTTTTTTTTTAAACACCTCACTCCCAAACTAGGTCTAAGCCTATTTTAGAATAGTGGCGATAACTACTCTAACTATCAACCATATTTAGTAAATTCGTCATAACATTATACATATACTTACGGTTTTTTTTTTCAAAAATACTTCTGTTTTCCATATACATTTTAATGATTTAAATTACACTTTTTTAAACCACATAGTATAATACATTTACATACATAAGGCATTTTTTTTTAATCATGGCGCGTTACGTGCGACTTACACATTTTAGATGTATTTATATGCGAGGATTGGTTCAGTGTATACAAACATAAAATAAAGGCGATTATCATCTCTAATAATGCAAGCAGGAATTTAAAGTATTTTGTCTAGAATATGTAAAAAAAAAAAAAAAAAAGGTAACAGAGAAGATCCCTATAATTTAGTTGCAACTAAAAGCTAAATAAAAAGTATAAAACAATCGAAGAACTTCAATTGATCTTGATACACTTGACAGCAAAACATATCATGAACTCATATCGTTCCATCATGTTGAAAATTTAATGTGTTCGGTTAAAATCAAATATTAGCATTATTTGTAATTGAATTAGTGAATTAGTTGATTATGAACTAAAACCATAAAATGAAATGAGGCAACAGTCACATTTGAAACATGGCTGACAATTTAGACATGGTGTTACAAAAATTCCAGAGAAAGTTAATTTGCTGCAAGAAGTCCATAAAATTATAAAAAGGTCGTACCCAGTGCACAAGGCTCCCGCTTTACGCAGGGTCTGAGAGAGGTGAATGTCGGCTAGCCTTACCCCCATTTATGGAGAGGCTGCTCCCAAGTCTCGAACCCGAGACCTACCGCTCATGGGCGAAGGCACTTGCCATCGCACCAAGTGCCTTTGCCCATGAAAATAATTGAGTGCAAATATGCTATCAAAACTAAGAGAGATCAGAAATTGAAAACATGGATTACTAACCCAATGAAAATATATTTGACAACGATAGCTTATGCAGATGAAAATGGCTTCGACAGTCATAGGAATCTTGCTCAGGGCACCTCTTAATCTTTTCAATATCTTTCTGAAAAACAATCACATTAGAGCAACTCCAGTGTAGGAGCCCTCCCCCCAGGCAATTCACTATTTAATCCACCTAGTGAACAGTAACTGCCCTTAATGAATAGTGCATTCCCCTGGCAATTGCCTTTTGCATCTCCATCCCTGCACTGAATAGCCCTGGCAATTGACAATAAAATATTAGTATTTTTTTATTTATAAAATAATACATAATAATTTCATTTGTAATTTCGGATAAGATTTTTAATCGTTCTCGTTGCGCCACGGGTCATTATCTGAAAAGCCAATAGCAATAAAATTTTTGTATTTTTGCATTTATAAAATAATTCAAAATAATTATATTTGTTATTTCGGATAAGATTTTTAATCGTTCTCGTTGCGCCACGTGTCATTATCCGTAAAAAAAATTATTGGTGATGGATTTTCGATAAGATTTTTAATCGTTGTGTCAAGGCACGTGTCATTATCTGAAAAGACAATTATTGGTGATGGATTTCTGATAAGATTTTTAACCAATCACGTCGTGCCACGTGTCACAATCCGATTACAATCTTTGAGGATAGATTTCCACCAGATTTTTAACGAATGATGGCATGCCACGTGGCATTATCTACAACCTAATCCCTTCTGAATCCTCCATATAATCCACCATCCATCCTCATAAATCTCACACCAATTTTCTCAAGATCTCTATCATTATTCATAGTTTCTGCTTCCTTCTTCGCCAAAATCCCTATCATTATTCATAGTTTTTACTTCCTTCTTCACCAAAATCCCTATCATTATTCATAGTTTCTGCTTCCTTCTTACAAGGTCTTCTTCCTCTTCTTCAAAGATGATGTGGGAAATCGAGCAAGAAGAGGAAGAATTGTTTAACCAATCACAAGGAATGTTCAATGTTGGGGATTGGGCCCAAAATGATATGGAAGAGGATGCCGAGCGTAGACGGATGACGAATCAAGAATGGCAGGAGCCTCACAATCCCGTCGAGTCGTCCAAGCTGTGGCTCATATCTGCAGGCCCAACCGTGCTGTAAACATTGATAGAAACATGCAACGACGAGGTCAGGAGCTCTTGGACGATTATTTTGTCCGTAACAGTGCACTCCCTGATACATACTTCCGACGTCGTTTTAGAATGGAACGACATTTGTTCAACAAAATCATGGGCGCTGTTTGCAACCATGATTCTTACTTTGTGCAAAAGCCGGATGCTTTTGGTGCTATGGGTCTCCTGCCTCAGCAAAAAATTACTGCTGCCTTGCGGATGCTTGCATATGGAGCAGCTGCAGACCAAGTGGACGATATAACGAGGATGGGAAAATCAACCATTCTTGAGTCCCTCATGAGGTTTTGTTCGGCAATCGAATCTATCTACACCGCAGAGTACCTCCGGATACCTACTCATATGGACTTGCAAAGGCTTCTGAAGAAAGGCGAGATGCGAGGTTTTCCAGGGATGATTGGAAGCATTGATTGTATGCACTGGACTTGGAAAAACTGTCCAAGTGCATGGCAAGGCGCTTATGGGGACAGAAAATGATCAAAAAGTATCATTTTGGAGGCGGTGACATCTTTTGATACATGGATTTGGCACGCCTTTTTCGGGGTTCCGGGAGCTCAAAATGACCTCAATGTCCTTACCCAATCCCCAGTGTTCAACGATGTCCTGCAAGGAAAGGCACCAAAAGTCACGTATGAGGTCAACGGACGTATGTACGACGCGCCATACTACCTAGCTGATGGCATTTACCCAAGGTGGTCAACATTTGTCAAAACAGTGCCACGTCCGCGTAGTGCAAAGGAAAAACACTTTGCAAGATGTCAAGAAGGGTGCAGGAAGGATGTGGAGCGTTGTTTCTGTATCCTCCAAGCTCGCTAGGCGATCATCAGGGGTGCTGCCAGATTGTTTGATGTAGAGTCGCTTCGATCCATCATGACGACGTGCATCATTCTTCACAACATGATTGTGGAAGATGAGTACGATTATGAAGCCGTTGATGATGAATATGAGCCAGGACACTATGAACAATTCAAGAACACGTATATATTGTGCTCATGACGCCACCGATGAGCCCGTGCAACATGAGCCATTAGAAAGGGATGGACGTTACAATTAAAGGATTATCCAACGATATACTGCACTTCAAAGGTCATATATGCACAATGCCGCCAACTTGACTTGATAGAGCACCAGTGGGAATTGAGGGGTGCTGACGATACTTAAGTTCATTAGTGTTTGTTTTTATTTGGTGTGTTTATTTATTTTATGTGGTGTGTTTTTTAAGTTCATTTAGTGAGTTGAAATGTAATTTTATTTATTTGGTGTGTTTATTTTATTTTATGTGGTGTGTTTTTTAGTTCATTTAGTGAGTTGAAATGTAATTTTATTTTATTTGGTGTTTGTTTTTATTTGGTGTTTTTTTTTGGTGTGTTGATGTTATTTTATTTGGTGTGTTTAAATGTGTTTTGAATAAAGTACTAAAGTTCAATAAATTGGAAACAACATAAAGTACTCTATTCAATGAATAAGAAATTACAACCCGAATAAGAAATTACAACCCGAATTGATTGGAAAATTATGGGTTCGTGAATGGATTGATAACCATCACCTAACCAATTTGTGGTGCTAGGATGATCTTCTCTTTGTCGTGCTAGGGATAATCTTCTCTTTGTGGTGCTAGGACCATCTCCTCTTGCTCTCGCTTCTCTTGCACCTCCTTCGCACCACGTCCGCTTTCTCTGACTTCCAAAAATATTTAGAGTCTGGAGACTTCCCTTCTAAAGGCTCCTTCATAATGTCACGATCTCGTTCAGCCATTCTTTTTTCTCTTCTATGTTCCCTTTCTTGCCGAAGTAGTTCTCTTTCTCTCTCATCAGCTTCAAATTTTCTCTCAAAAGCTGCAGCTTTTGCATCCTCTCTAGCCTTATCAGCCTCAAATTTAGCCATTTCCCGGGCCAAATTCAATTCACCTTGGCGGGCAAGATCTTCCATATACTTTGCATAATCATTCTTGGAAGCATTACCTTTTCTCTTTGAAGCCTTCTTACCTTGAGGCCTAATTGGAAAACGGGTCGACCCCGACGCTTGTTCAACGGGGGGCGTTTCAGGCACTTCTTCATCATCTTCATCATGATCATGCGAGGCATGCTCAGGTGTAGAGTGTAGAGGGGTGCTGTTCATGAAAACTTCTGGGACCGACATGCACAACTCTAAATTTAGGACAATCTTTGACAATATTCCAACATTCAAACCGGGTGAATGTTTTGTTTTTTGCTTTTGGTTTTGGCACCATACCAAGCTTGTGCTTGAAGTTCCTACACAAACAAATAATTATAATGAGAATAGGTAACAAATAAATAATTATAATGAAAGTATGTAACAAAATAATAATACAAACAAATAATTATAAATGAAAGTAAACAAATAATTATAATGAAAGTAGGTAGGTAACAAATAAATAATACAAACAAATAAATATAATGAAAGTAGCTAACAAATAATTATAATGAAAGTAGGTAACAAATAAATAATACAACCAAATAATTATAATGAAAGTAGGTAACAAATAATAACTAAACAAATAATAATAAATAGCTAAATAATTATAATGAAAGTAGGTAACAATAAATAATACAACCAAATAATTAATTAAATGAAAGTAGGTAACAAATAAATAATACAAACAAACAAATAATTATAATGAAAGTAGCTAACAAATAATTAAAATGAAAGTAGGTAACAAATAATACAAACAAATAAATATAATGAAAGTAGCTAACAAATAATTATAATGAAAGAAGATAACAAATAAATAATACAAACAAATAAATATAATGAAAGTAGCTAACAAATAAATAATAATATATTGTTACCTGATCCGTTAAATTTTCCCCACTTCGAAGATTACCACTAGCTTGTGCCAAGGCGTCTCTCCACGTACTAAACAATTGACTAAGTAAATTTCCAACGACTGGACATCGATTCTTTAGTTCTTTGCCCACCCATTTTTCTCAAGATAATTGGTATGAATAAGACTCCACATTTTCTCGCAACTGCATCTCATTACCCGTAATCGAATCATGAGTAACTTGAACCCAACTAGTACACAACGCAAACATCTTCAAGAAGCGTCCAATTCGTACCTGGTTGAGTAGTCATTTTGTTGGAAAAAAATTGGATTGAAAAACTTTGAAAGAAAGATAGGAATGTGGTTGAAAGTAGTTGAGAAAATATGAAATTGTGGTGTCGGGTAGAAGATAATGAGAAGGTATTTAGAGGTGAAGTGAAATCAAAATTTTTTATAATTTTCATAATTTTTTTCGGATTTTTAAGAATTTTTTACATTTTTTTAAATTTTTATTCACCTAATTAATCTCTGCCGTTGGATTTAAAAAAATTTAAATTCCAACACTCCAGATTGTGCCACATGTCATAACGGTAACATTTTAGATTTTTAAACAGTTTTTTCTTTCTTTTTATATAATTTACAAAGCCTAATAACGTGAACCGTTGATCTTAGATCAAACGGATGAAATTAAATGAGATTTTTAAATGTTTTTTACCGTTGGAAATCCAACGGTCCATAAAATATGACCGTTTCAATCGAACAGACATGGGGAAGCCACGTGGCTTCCCCAACGGTTACTTTTCAAAACTGAAATCGCGGGCCCCATCCCTGTTTTTTTGTCGGACGACTCGCGCCCACGCGCGCGTGAAACGCACGCGCCTGACGCAGCCCTCGGGCTCTCGGGCTGGCAATCCTCGACGGGCCTGCTCCTCGGGCCTCGCCTGTTGCTCGGGCTTCCATACGCTGGAGCTCATCCCCCAGCAATTTGCTACTGTGTGATCCACAGCCCCCGAGCAACCTCCCCCGCTGGAGGTGCTCTTAGAGGAGCAAAAGGTATTATGTTTACAAAAGTCAATAGCTCTTAAAGAAAGGAATAGATCCTCGAGGGCCACAGAAACGAACTCGAGCGAACACTGAAAAAAGAGCCAACAGTAGCACAAAGCTAGCTCCGATAACATACTATCAAGTTCAATGAAAATGAGAGATCTGATGAATTCTACCTCTCTTACCTCTTTGGAGATCAAATGGAGTTCCTGGAGTTCTCCACTGCTTCCCCTAGCAGCACGATGTTGACGTGGGTTGTAGTGGGAGAGAAGGATGCTGTGATTTAGATAACCAACAATATAAATTGAGTAGGATTAAAAGCTACCCTTTTTTAGGCTACTCGATGTACCAGCTGAGGAAGAAATTTAATTAGAAAAGTGGGACCAAATTTAATTAAACAAAGTAGCAAAACCTGTGAAAATTTAAAATTCCAATCACATGGTGTGGTAGAAATTTCATACATGGCTCTAATTAATGCTGCCGACGAAGGCATCCCAGTAACCTATGCAACCAGCTCTCCCGACCTGCTAAAAAACAATAACAAAATGAAAGAATTTTTTTAGAGAAATTGAAGTTAAAAGTTAAACTTCATAAATATTGGGAATTTGCATGATTTCGTTTAAATTTGAAAAATTCCGTACCTTTCAATTGCATCGTCAACGAAAATATAATAACGCTGGAAATTTCAGAGAGGGCTATCAATATTAGAGGCGAAAAGAAAAAACTTACCATACATTTCTCCACCAATGAAACATTCAAAGCATCCAACCTTTTGCCCCTTCGTAAATTCTTCTTTAGCTGTGGATATGAAGGGTGATGGAGTGATATCATAATTTTGTAACTGAACAAATGCAATGGAGAAGTTATGATAAAAGGCTATGTGAGTTTGAAAACTGAACGGAAACTGCTATGCAGTTTGAAAACTAAACGTGCTAATCTTGATAATTTTTCTCCCCAAGCTCGTTGTTATTTTTATTTTATTTTTTTATATTTTTGTGAGATATTAACATCTCTCTCCTAAAATGGAGGAGGAGTTATCTGTTTCTTTTTCTATTAATAAAACAAATTTTATATTTTCTGTATTCTGAGAAAATTATCCCTGTTATTTTGTCTCTATTATTTTCAACTAGTTGTGGATTTTTTTTGTTTGAGGGGCTTTATAGTCCTTTTTTTTGTGAAACCTTGAGACACCAAACTCTCCTTTTAGCTTTCTAATATTAAAGATTAAAGATACAAATAAAATTCACATATTTCAGACATATTTTAAACATCTAAAACTACATTAACAAAACCCTATTTGTCAACCAAAAAGAAAATGAAAATACATCTTTGTCTTCTATCACAAAAAAAAAAAATTAAGGACAGTAACGTAATTTCACAAAACAAAATTTTGTTGTTTTTTTTAAACTCCACCTACATGTAAGTTTATCATTTCTAATTTAAAAAATTAAAAATTAAAAACAACCTCTCTCACTCTCTCCTCACTCGCACGTTCTCTCTCATCCTCTTCCTCTCTCTTTCAATTTTAACAACCAAAGTAAAAAATTTCACATACTTTGTGTGTGGGCATATACTAGTATTTTTAATAAAATAATTAATTAATTAAAGTAAATAAATATTAAAATTTTACAAATTCCCAAATTTTTTAAAGTATTATTTTAGCAAAATTACCCATACATGTAATTACATTTCAGGTATTATATTCGTTTTGTATTTTCAGAAACTACGCTAACAACGCATTTTCTACACAGTAGAAGTTATGCATCGCGCTACAATACGATAACTACTCTCACTACACCTTTTCACATGGTCAAAGTGTTACATTATTCTCCAACATGATAATTACTCTCACTAGGAGCGCCTTTTCACATCATCGAAGTTGTAAAACACTAGAACCTTGAGCCTTAAATTGGACACAACAACTTTGAGCACTTCGATTAAGTCAATTCATTAGGGATTCTGCGGATCCACTTTTTTTTCCAATGCTTAGACTGGACACTACCATTTTACGCACAAAGATTATCACTTTTTGCAAAGTTAGTGTAATCCTACGAGAATACAGAGTATTGTCTCACGTCAGAAGATTAAAAAGATTATTGAGCTTTGATTGTCTTAGTCTTACTTTAGGTCTATTTTGTTAACTATTCGTAGTTACTGAAATTTTACGTTTTGAGATTTTAATTACTTTTGAACATATAATCTTTTGTACTAGTGCAAATGGTTTGCTGCTCAATCTTATTTATGTTTCCAATTTCACCAGTCTTCATATATTTACAATTTCATGAAAACAGCAGTCTAGTTGATTTTGAAACATCGAAAGCAGAGAGAGAGAGAGAGAGAGAGCCTAGAATTTGAGAGCATTTTATGTTGTGAACTCAGCAGAAGCTGTTCTCCATGAGTTTAACAAACTCATCGAAATCTATGCGTCCATCTTCGTCAACATCAAATGCCTTGATCATCCGTTTGCATTCCACTTCCGAAACTTCAACGAAACCCAATACAGAGAGAACCTTCATTACCTCACCTGCATCAATGAATCCGTCCTCGTTCTCATCAAACACGCGAAAAGCTTCTTTTACTTCCTCCAAGCTCGGGTCCTCCTCGAACAAGTCAGCAATCTCCTTCGACCCGAGTCTCCCCTCACTTAATGTTCCTAGTTTCTCCATCACTAGTCCTAGTTCTCCTGCACACAGATTCTTATCGCCACCTGCAACATTTTCGTGAATGTAACTAATCTCCGCAGCCTGAACTGAAGGGACTTGGTCATGACTAGTAGTTTTAGAGTTGGTTTCAACTCCTTCTGATGGTTCGTGATCACATACGTTCTCGTCAGCGCAACTTCTTTGGATCACGGGCTTAATCTGCATAACATCGCAAAGGAAGCATAAAAACAAGTAGCGTAAATTCGAGTTGAAGTGCAGTACAAGGAGCCAGTTAAGAATGATTAGGATCACTAAGAAAAGTGCAAGAAGCGAATCGGGGCTGCATCCGAACCCATCGCTCATCGCCTTCTCCATGACCGGTGGATAAAATCTAGAGAGTCGAAGGAGAAAGTGCTTAATTAAGCCGCTAGTCGCTTAACTACGATTCGAAAGTATTGAGAGACTTGAGAGTTGAGTGTGGAAACCAGAACTGAGTTTGGTTTATATTATATAGAGCTAAAGATTTTGCTTAATTAATTTCCAAGAAATTGTGTGAATGAAGGGAAGTTTCAACTAAATTAATAGCATCCATAGTTCACATCGTAAACTAAGGTGAGTTGTTGACTCTACTACTTGTCTCCTTTGTTAATTTATTAGCCATTAGGGTCGTCATCTCGTGAAAATTTCCAGGTATTCGCATGCATGTTATCCGCATTCAGGAGCGGCCGCAATTGCACGGAAATGTCAAGTGTGAAAACAAATAAGTAGTTAAATTATTCTCTCAAAGTCTTCTTCTAGGGAAGACTTTTTGAGTATATGATACAAGTCCCGATACTCAATGATACGTGTTTTATATAAGATTTAATTGTTAATATATATATATATATTTATTAAATTTTTATTTACAAAATCTAACTGTTAATTTTTTAGATCACTCAGTTGTACCATATAAAAAGAATTGCATAATATATAGGTTATTGAGATCAATGTTCTAAAAAAAGGCCTAGGCGGGGCGGTGGTGAGCCGAAGCGTTTTCTTGCAAATCAGTTGGAAAAATCGGATGGGCTCTAGGCGGGCTAGGCGGTGCTAGGTGGAGCTAAACAGTTTTTTTTAATGAAATAAAAAAATAAAATAAAAAAATATTATCTAAGTCTAAGTGGTTTAAATTTGTGAACTTGTTGTACATGTGTCATCCTACAATACTTCTCACTATGGTTATATGGCATATATGTTTAAAGTGTTTTTAAATTTTAGACTTGTTGGATACTCTTTTTGCATTTTATCATTCTTTTATTATATTATACATGGATTTCATACAAGTATAATTTTTTGTAAGTATCAATATACACTTATTTACAAGATATACAATAAATTTACCTAAACCGCCTAGGCGCCCGCCTAGATCCCGCCGTCCAACTAGTGCCTAACGTTTTTTAGAACCTTGTAAGAGATTAATTTAATTACTTTTTTGGAATTGTTATTAGCACTCCAAAAATCTCATTTGACACTTCAAACGTTCTATAATTAGAAAGAAAAATACACTTGCGAAGAGTGTAGAATGAGATTTTTGAAGTGTTAATGACAATTTCCTATTTTTTTAGTCAATTTATGAAAACAAAGAGAATAAAAAATTATAAAAATATATATATATGTCATGTGGTTCACGTGCCTGTCACGTGTTTGTTGGGGGGGGGGGGTATTTTTTTATTTGGACAACTCTGTCGTGACTTGGTTGTTGAGGGGACAAAGCCAGAGAGAATGGGCATTTGAGGAAGAAGGAAGGAAATGGGGTCAATTGGTAATAAATTCCACTACAAGACAAACGACAATGGGGTCAATTAACAAATAAGAAGAATTGATAATGTCCTTTCTACCCTCCCAGATTACAAAGAGCCATGGAGGCAAAAAGAGCCGGGAGCCGCCCTTCACTCCACTCAGGGACCAAACCGCGCCACCACCCCCGGCTCCCCGGCGGTTTCGAGCAGCGGGGAAGCTCACCGCCGAAACCTCTCGCCTCGGCTCTTATCAATATGGACCTCGTCGTCACCGACGTGACTGCCACTGCCTGCTTCGAAAAAGAGCTCACGGTTCCTTCTTTTAATAATTACAACCCGTGAAGTTTTCTATACAGCGTGAAGCAGTGCTGGGAAAAGGCAGAGAAGATAAAAGGGCGGAATTAGAAATTTATTATAGAGTTTTAACGAAAAGCTTGCGGTATTGTTCATTTTAACGAAAAATCATATTTTTACATTAAAAAGTTAAATCTAATACTATTCACTTTACATTTTAGTTTGTCCTTATCATTAAAACTCAAAGTTTTCAAGTTTTTTTCATTAGTTTTCCTAATTTATTAATAGGTAAGTAGCTAAAGTTATTAGTTAAGTATCTTTAAAAGAAATGTCAAAATGTCTATATCAGTAGTTAATAAAAATAACAAAAATATTTTCAACCAAAAAACCAAATTTAATGTGGCATGATATGGATTGGCAACCTTCTTCCTTGTTGCCAAAATTGACGATTTAAAAAAAAAATTATTATTAAATATTTTATTAATTTTATAATTTTTGTTGTATAAAATATAGGGTTAATCTCAGTTTACTACCCTCAAGTTTCGTGGTTTTCAACATTTAGTACATGAAGTTTTTTTCGTCTCAAAGTCATACCCAAAGTATTAATTTTGGAACAGTCTCATACATCTATTAAGTTTTCCGTTAGAACTTCTGTTAACTAATGACGTGGCACCCACATGGACATTTACTAAGCGCCACATGTCAATATGGGCCCACTTCAATATTAAAAATTTTAAAAAAATACAAAAACACAAAAAAAAAAACATCGGTGCCCACCCTCTCCTTCCCTTCTCTCTTCTGCATTTGCACCTGCACCACCCTTCTTTCTCTCCTTTGGCGAGGTAAGATAAAGCCATTATTGTGTTCTCTCCAGATGATCATCTCTTCCAAGTCGAGTACGCGCTTGAGGTCGTCCGTAAGGGTAACACCGTCGGTCCACCGCTAAGCTCCAGGACTCCAGATACCGAGATCACACACACAAAGTGCTTTCTTTGCTTTGATCTAACTGAGGAAAATTGAAGTGGACTTTAGGGTTTTAATCGCATCGATTTCTAATTTTTTTTTTTCAATCGTTGCAATTGGTTGAATTGTGCATTGAATTGAAATTGAAACTAATTGGTAAGTTGTTAATTGGCTATGTCGTACCTCGCCAGATGAGAGAAGAGAGGGTGGTGCAAGTGCATAAGAGAAAAGGGAGGGAAGGGTGCGGGTTGCATAAGAGAGAAGGGAGAGAGAGGGTGCGGGGGATAAGGTGGGTGCAGATGTTTATTTGTTTTTTTTTTCTTTTTTTTTTAAATATTTTTTTAATATTGAAATGGGCCCATATTGACATGTGGCGTCCATCAATTGTTCATGTGGGCGCGAAGTCATCAATTAACAGAAGTTCTAACTGAAAACTTAACAGATGTATGAAACTGTCTCAAAATTAACACTTTAAGTATGACTCTGGGACAAAAAAAAAATTCATGTACTAAATGTTGAAAACCACGACTCTTGAGGATAGTAAACTGAGATTAACCCTAAAACATATATTGATAGTTTAATGTAACATGGGTGCCATTTAGTACTACTGTCTAAAGGTATTCCTCTTCACTTTTAAGTGAGATGTTTTATGTTCAATTCTCGTTAAAGGCAAATTTGAACTATATTATTGCAAACCCATTATGAAGTTAAGTCCACCCCATCTACCTTAGTGTAAATAATATCGATTGTTCGAAGAAAAAAAATATAAAATATCGCGTGCCAGGTGGTGATCAAAATTTTAAGATATTTATGGGGTGGGTTCCCTTTGAATTTGGGATTTGAGGTTCTGTTTTGGGGATGCATTTTATTCTACAAATTGAAAGTTCTTTGCTTTTCTTTTTTTGTTTGGTGGCTCTTTCCCATGGAACATTATTATTTATTTGGGTGGAATTTTGAGCATTTTGTGTGAAAGAAGATGCAATTTGGAAATGCTTGTGTTATTGAATTTCATACATTAGTAATGCTGTAAAAGTTGAGCTCTTTTTTAGCTATGTGGTATGCCGTTGCTTATTATATACGCGATTCGCGAACATGGTTGTATGAAACCGATAGTTGTTTGGGAACATGGTTATATACGCGAACAAGTAATTGTCTTACTGTAATTGTACAGCAGCTGAAGCTAGGGAATTTGCTTAATTAGTTTAGCTACATACTTGCATATATGCATGTACGATACTGGAGGCGATAGATATTAGTACAAGCTTAGGTAGAAAGCTTTTCTCACCATTGGTGGAAAATGCATGTAAGGTAATCTGGAGTTTTGTTATGGCGGTTTATTGAGCAGAATGACTATGAGGTCCCAAATTCCAATATTCCATGTTAGATTGCGACCGTAGACATAGAGTGTGGCAGCTTGGCATGACTGGTGTTGTGGGATTATGTGAATTTGAACTAGACTGTGACAGAGAGATTGTGATAGAATATGGCTAATCATGGTGATACGTATTTATGGTGATACGTAAAGCGGGAGCCTTGTGCACTGGGTACAACCTTTTTTTATGGTGATACGTATTTAGTTGAAGGACTGTTTAGACCTATGAGGAGTCTTGAGGTGTAATACAGGCCTGATTTACCGGAGAATTTTTTTTACCAACTTGGCTCCAAATGATTAGGATTTAGTCGATTGACAGTGCACTAGAAGATAATTCAGTAATGAATACACACCGGCTGAGGCATTTGTTTTGAAAGAGGAGCGGCTTAGCAAGTTTCAAGAAGAAGCTCGTTCTGCAATCTGTTTCTTGCAGATTGAAAAGTTCTGGCGAACTCATTATTCTACTGGTCTTGGCGTGGCAAATTTGTAACAAAGTCTGGAAACCAACATTGAAGATGTTTCGTTGCGTGTCCATTTGTGCTGATTATGGTTGGAAAGGAATATTAAGGGAAACAAAGGAGTTCAGGAAATGGGCTGCTTTGTCATCCCAATTTAATATGAATCTTGATAGCTGAACAAATGTTTCTTTATTTTGTTTCCCCCAGCCCTCTGATCCCTGAAACTAATTTTGGAGGATTAATTTTTTATTTTTTCACATTTCAGGGAGGACAAAGTACGCTCGAAAACTGTCAGATCTTACAGGTATGGACTTCATTCCCCTTTGGAACCTTGAACTTTTACATGATTTTTGTATCTTTATTTTGGGTCGTATCTCCATTCCATAGAAACCCTTCACCAGTAGATGTTAGCACACTGTAGTTTCCTACTATATATTGCTGACCTTCAAAGGGATGCCAAAATACCTACGCTACTTGAGCTATCTTAGGATTCTTAACAATCAGCAGACCGTACAGTTGCGGTATGATAATGGAAGAGATTCTACTGCAGGATGATAATGCGAGGGCCGAGTCCAATGTGTTTAGTGGAAGTGGATAGTTGATCCAGAGATTCTAAAGGCGATGGCTACCCTGTGCTGTGGCTTAAACCATTCAAGAAATCAGAACCATGTGTCTCTTCTCTCTTTCCCTAATTTATCTAATTTACGACGTTGTGTAACTTCTTGTAGAATTCATCCTAGCATTGAAGGGGAAACTGGAAACTAGTATTGCTGCATGTTCTCCCACTCGGATAGGAAATATTTGTATCAATCTGCACTGCACAGAATGTCATCCCCTGCCTTTTGATATATGAGAAATTTGGCTCAGCATTTTCTTCATTCTTCTTCCCATTGACAAATATGGGTTGCATAAGACAAATGGACAGTCCGTATTTTGTGAAGCAAAATACATGCTCCTTTGCTTTGGAATAATCTTTAATTGCAATCGATAATATCGCGATTCATAATGTGAGGAGAAAAATTTCTTTCATTCTGTCAAAGACAATAGTTTTCGATCTCTCTCATTATGCAACTTAAATTTTAGATTGAGTACATTTCTCTAACCAAGTGAAACTTAAATTTTAGATTGAGTACATTTCTCTAACCAAGTGAAACAACGCATCCGCACTTTCTTCTTTAGTGCTTGAAAAACGTTAACGAGACTCTTTTCAAAGTTAGACTTTTCATCAACTCTCTATCACTTTACAGTTAACGTTAATTTTCACGTCAATATTATAAAACACTGTGCAAAGAGCTTGAGGTGGCATATAGTCATACTTTTGAAAGCATTTTCTTCTTTTTTGTACTAGGTCTTTCTGTTTGTTGATGCACAAAATCAGCGAAGACTTTGGTACAACAGAAAGTGTCAGGTTTTGTGACCTTCGCTTGGTTGCTTCGGTCACTAGTGAGGATAAGTACGTAAATGAATAGAGACAGAGAAGCAAACACAGGATGTACGTGGTTCACCTAGATTGGCTACGTCCACGGAGTAGAGGAGTTCTTATTAGTAGTGAAGGGCTTACACAAGTACAAAGGATCAAGCTCTCAATTTAGTGAGTTCTTGTGAATGATTTAACACAAAATGGCATTAGGCCATATTGTGGGGGAATGACCCCTATTTATAGAAAAACTTGTAGCTTTGTCACATTGACATGTGTCATGTTATGATTGGTTCTTGATGTCGACACGTGCTGCGCTCTGATTGGCTTCTAATCTTGACACGTGTCGAGTAGTGATTGGCCTCCTGGTCGGAGGGGAACTCTTCTGGGTCCTTGACAGTATAGCGTTGGCCGTTGCTCGGTAGTTTCGGGATTGGTCAAGTATGGTACAAACAGTGCTCCCCTAAGTTCCCGAGTGAGGGAAGCTCCTCGGTTGGGGACTTGCAAGATCCAATCCCTTGAGTAATCACGAAACTTCTAAGTACCGAAGTGTGGTCTGATCTTCATCTGCCCTTCTCTGGAAGTACCTTTCCTCCATCCGGGAATGGTGTACTTAGCTGATGTTGACGCACAAGGTAATGTATCAATTTCACTTGAAGCTTAGTTGTAGTTTCGGGCTTAGTCAAGTGTGATACAAACCCTATAGTAGGAGTCCCCCAAGTCGCCGAGCTAGGAGATCTGCCGAAAGAGGTGACAGACAAGGTAAGCAGTCAAACTTCCAAGTAAGCAACCCAGGATCAGAGGTTTGACGTCGGCTTCCGGTTGATTGTTCTCATTCTCCTTGTCTCTCATTCAACTGCCAGGATAAGGAGAAGCAAATGGATAAGAAATGATATGAGATACTTTTGCTTTTTGAAGAAGTAACTTTCCACAGGCTTATTCTTGAACTGTGCTGGAGGGTTTTCTGGTGCCCTTCAGAGTATAAGGCCGACTCAAAAATTTGAGGGTCAAAACAAGTCCATCAAATCTAGAGTACGTTCGACCTTGATGATATGGGATACTTTTGCTGTTGACGGAATAATGAATGTGGTATGGAAAGGTGTCGTGCTGTAGTGATCTGTTTCAGCTCACCGTTGAACCTTCTGCTTCAATCTTTTGCATGGCAGAAGTGGTGTGCAACCTTTGCATTTAAATGGTCCTTCAGAACATTCCTTCATAGTGACTCATCCACGCTTGGCAGCTTCAGTGTAAAGAACCAATATCTGATCAACTGTCATGAGGTATTTGCCGGTGGAATTCGTGACCTTGACAGCAGTTGAGGATGAGTACTCGAGAGCAATGCTAAGTAAGCAACCAGGCAAAGGCTCCAGGCAGTCAGTTCCAAATTGGAGGTTTGATTTCAGGTTCCGACTGACTGCTCTCTTTCTCCTTGTCCTGCAGGTGTGGACAAGGACAAAGACAAAGACAGGGAGAAAGCATGATATGGGATACTCTTGCTTTCGACCCTGATGATATGAGATATACTCTTGTTCTTGGTGTGGCTTATTTGCTGAGGTATTATCAGGGGGAAATAAAGCTGAGTATTTCGAGAGGTTATGTTGAGGGTGCCTTTTCGAATGTGAGAAAGGGTTGAGCATTTTTGCAGGTTTGCCTGTCCGTTGAGGAGGGAGGTCAATGTATATAGGGATTTCCCAATAACAAGTAGTAATGCTATTCCTTTACCCTTCTTGGTCACAGCAATGTAGTGGGAGCTGCCAGCTTCAACGTGTTTTAATTTTGTCAGAGCACTTTGAAAAAGTGGTATGTGGTATCTGGAAAGCTGATATTACGTGTGGAGATTACAGACAAGCTTTATCTAAGGAAATCTGGCTCTCGAAGTTCTGAGAGTTGTGCCTCTTCGGTTTTCGAACAAGCAATCCCGTCGAGGATCTGACTCTCGAGATTCGGAAAGCGGTGCTACTCCGGTTTTTGAGAAAGTAATTATGTTGGGAGTCTTTTCTCGAATGTGAGTAAAGGTTGGTCGTTCTTGCCAACCTGTCTTGCCACAAAACACGGAGGTCGACACACATAGGGACTTTCCAGTTGTCAAGCAGTGGTGCTGTTCCTTTACCCTTATGGGTAATAGTAGGGTAGCTGGCACTTCGAAATTCTCGTGCCTAAACTTTGTCAGAGATCTTTGACAAAGTTATATGTGGTACCCGAGGAGTTGATGGTGCATATGGAGAGCGGTGATTGATCAGTAAGATTCACGTGCTTTCTACTTCACCAGAAATCTTCGACAGATTGCCCGTAATTTCCGCAAAGCTGATTGTGCATGTGACAGGTGCTGACGAGGCTGCAAAAGCAGGTGCTTCTTCGATTTCTGAGATCGGCCCTCGTGGTCTCTGAGCAGCCCAGCTTTTGAGAAAGCATTCGCCTCTTCGATTTCTGAGATCGGCCCTTGTGGTCTCTGAGCAGCCCAGCTTTTGAGAAAGCAAACGCCTCTTCGATTTCTGAAGCTCCGTCGAGTGCAGATTTTTATAGAGCTGGCATTAAGTTCCACAGCCACACTTGAATCTCTACCAGTAGAAGCTCATTTCTTGCACTTCTAAGATCTTGATTTGTCTGACCTCTTCCTTCTTCAACACATTTGAAAATGTCTGGACCCTCCGACCGTCGTTTTGACTTGAACCTTGGAGAAGAGACAGCCACGCCTTCTCCAGACAACATATGGCGCCCATCCTTCATATCCCCTACTGGTCCTCTTACCGTTGGGGATTCTGTGATGAAGAATGATATGACCGCTGCAGTGGTGGCCAGGAACCTTCTCACTCCCAAAGATAATAGACTACTTTCCAAACGGTCTGATGAGTTGGCTGTTAAGGACTCTCTGGCTCTTAGTGTTCAGTGTGCAGGTTCTGTGTCTAATATGGCCCAACGCCTATTTTGCTAGAACCCGCCAAGTTGAATCATTGGCTGCTGAAGTGATGAGTCTCAAACAGGAGATTAGAGGGCTCAAGCATGAGAATAAGCAGTTGCACCGGCTCGCCCATGACTATGCTACAAACATGAAGAGGAAGCTTGACCAGATGAAGGAATCTGATGGTAAGGTTTTACTTGATCATCAGCGGTTTGTGGGTTTGTTCCAAAGGCATTTATTGCCTTCGTCCTCTGGGGCTGTACCTGGTAATGAAGCTTCAAATGATGAACCTCCAATGCCTCCTCCTTCTGGGGTTTTGTCAAGTACTGAGGCTCCGGATAACCACCCTCCGGTGCTTTCTCTTTCTGGGGCTCTACCGACTGCTGAGACTTCCCTAAGCAACCTTTGTGAAGGCTCCCTTTTGTTTGTTTATTTTGACTCATGTATATGTACATATTTGTGGCTTATCGAAAATATTAATAAATAAGCTTTGCTTCATTTCAACATATTGTGTTAAATACACCAAAGCCTTCTTCATAAAGTTCTTTGAATTTTTGCTTTTGTTGAAACCTGTATTGTTGAAGCTTTGTGAGTGAAGCATGTAGTTTGAGGTAGTGTTCCCTTAATTTCCCGAGTGAGGAAAACTTCTCGGTTGGAGACTTGAAAAATCCAAGTCACTGAGTAGTCACGAACTTTTGAGTACCAAGGCGTAGTAGCATATGGTGGGAGTCCCCCAAGTCTCTAGTCGAGGGAGTTGACGAATGAGGTGTCTTGCTAATAGTCCATGCCGTAAGTACCAAAACTTCATTCTTTTGTTTTCTAAGTGGTAGCCCCGGACTTTTTCTTCATAGATTTTGTTGATGAAGGTTGCTAGGCCCGATAAAGTGGAATTGCAGAAGGTGTAACCGTTGGTGCATTAACATCATAATGAAAGCATCACAATGGATGGAAGCATCACAATGATGAAAGCATCATAAATGATGAAAACACCATAATGATGAAACATCATAATGATGTTTCTTTGGTGGAATTGTTTTTCATTTCCCCTAACAACCGGAATTGTTTTTTCAACATAACACCATCATCTGTAGGTCGAATCACAAAGTTGTCTTCATGAAAGTTGTTCGTTAATTCCTTAACTACAAACATATCCAAATTGGAGAGCCATCGGAGCAGTACAACTCCAGAAATCCAGGTATGATGAGTGACTGTTTATCATTTGTCTGTCAACCCGTCAGATTTGTTGTGAGCTTTGAAACTCTATTTTCTCTTGCTCAGATCAGCATGCTTTCTTCATTGAAGTTGTTCCTCAGCTTGTGAACTACAACATATCCAAATTTGAGATCCCTCGGAGCTGTATAACTCAAGAAACTCAGGTATGATGAATGACTGGTTATTATTTTTCTGTCAACCCGTCAGATTTGTTGTGAGCTTCGAAACTCCATTTTCTCTTGTTCAGATCGGTATGCTTTCTTCATTGAAGTTGTTCCTCAGCTTGTGAACTACAACATATCCAAATTTGAGATCCCTCGGAGCTGTATAACTCAAGCAACTCAGGTATG